ATTAACAAAGGGATACAATCAAGATCAAGTGTGGTATTAATACCACTCTATAAAGCCTTAGTAAGACCACACCTAGGGTACTGCATCCAGTTTTGGTCACCACATTACAAAAAAGATGTTGAGATTCTAGAAAGAGTACAGAGAAGAGCAACCAGGATGATTAGGGGTCTGGACACTAAAACATATGAAGAACAGTTACAGGAACTGGGCTTGGCTAGTGTAGTAAAGAGAAGGACCAGGGGAGACATGATAGCAGTCTTCCAATATCTGAGGGGCTGCCACAGAGAGGAAGGGATCAAGCTATTTTCTAAATCACCTGAAGGCCGGACAAGCAATAATGTATGGAAACTGAAGAAGGAGAGATTTAACTTGAAAATAAGGAGAAACTTTCTGACGGTGAGAACAATCAACCAATGGAACAGCTTCACAAGTTGTGGGAGCATCATCACTTGAGACTTTCAAGAAGAGATTGGACTGACATTTGTCAGAAATGGTGTAGGGTCTCCCGCTTGGGCAGGGGGTTGGACTAACTCTGATTATCTGTTGTCTGTTATGTAGTAATGCAATAGCAATAGCACTTAGCAGTGGTGGGATTCATTTTTTTTTTACTACCGATTCTGTGGGCACAGCTTGGTAGGCATGGCTTGGTGGGCATGGCAGGGGAAAGTTACTGCAAAATCCCATTCCCTCCCCACCCCACTAACCTGCTTTCCAGCTCCGTTCTCCTATGCAGGGTAACAAAAGAAGACCCAGCCAATCAGCTGGGACTCAAGAGGCAGAGAATAGATGGGGGTGGGGCCAGTCAGAGGTTGTATTTGCTAGTTCTCCAAACTACTCAAAATTTCCGCTACCAGTTCTCCAGAACTACTTAGAGAGGGCTATAAAGCACTGTGAAGCAGTATATAAGTCTAAATGCCAGAGGTGATATTCAGCAGGTTCTGACCAGTCCTCCAGAACTGGTCAGAACCTGCTGAATACCACCTCTGGCACTTAGACTTATATACTGCTTCACAGTGCTTTATAGCCCTCTCTAAGTAGTTTACAGAGTCAGCATACTGCCCCCCTCAAACAATCTGGCTCCTCATTTTGCTGACCTCAGAAGGATGGAAGGCTGAGTCAACCTTGAGCCCTGCCAGGATTGAACCTCAGGCCGCAGGCAGAGTTTGCCTGCAATACTGCACTTTAACCACCGTGCCACCAGGCCTCTTAATACACCCTAATAATAACAGCTGTTCTACCACAAGATTCAGTTACCTAAAGCGGTGGTAGGTTCCCTTTACATATGCAATCTGGTAGAGATTTTGGAAAGACTTTCATGCGTATTCCAGCATAAGCACAAAGCAAGACGTGGTCTAACTGACCCTTCTAAATAGTATGGTTATCAGGTTAGAACAGGGGTGTCAAACCTAAGGCCAGTGGGCCAGATCCGGTCTGTGGGGTGCTTAAATCTTGCCCATGGGGTCAGCCAGGAAATAACACTGACCCATGGTACCTGTGGCAGCCAAAATGGGCAAGTAGTGAAGGAAAACTCACCAGGCAGAGATCAGTTGGGCCGCGTGTTCGAGGTGAAGGAATCAGAGACAGCAGCAACAGCTATGCCTCAGACATGACACTAGGTGGGTAGGGCAAGGTGGCGTGATGTGGGCCAGAGGTTAGAAAATATAATGTCCGTAACTATAATAGGCCAACTGAAACCAAGTGAGTGCAGTCCTTTCCAACTTAAATCTCAATAATTTATGGAATCTGTGGCTAAATCAGTATGTAACTCATAATGTAAATGTAAGTGCACATAATGATATTGTAGGAGGAGAGATACAGTAGGTAAAGATCAAGATTCTGATAGCATAAATTAAAAATCATGTGCCCTTTAATGAAATGAGTAGTTTAGAAAAAGTGTTAACCGATTCCTGGTTTAAAGCTGCATCATCTTCCTGCTCAGATACTTGTAGATGCTTTCAGTTTCTTGCAATTAGCTAACCTCCTTCTCACAAAAGATGTTGTAAGCTTTAACCAAGAGATCTGCAACATGACGAAGGCACTGTTAGGTATCAGATGGAAAAGCAGTCACTCCCACACAAGGAATTGAGGCAGTATAAATCCAAAACTGAGACAGAATTACAGTGCTGTGTAGAGTTACAAAGGTCCATTTTTATTTGTGTGTGTGTGTGTGTGTGTGTGTGTGTGTGCCTTTGAGTCACTGTTGTTTCCTGGTGACTGCTTGTATAAGTCCCTACAGTTTTCTTGGCAAGGTTTTTCAGAAGTAGTTTGCCATTGCTTTCTTTTTCCAAGGGCTGAGAAAGAGTGATTGGTCCAAGGTTACCCAGTTGGCTTTGCGCCTAAGCTAGAACTAGAATTCGCAGCCTCCCACTTTCTAACCCAGGGGTTTCAAACTGGATTTCTTTGATGGCCAGATCAGCATTGTAGCTCTCCTCTGCAGACTGGCTGTGTATGTGTGTGGTGGGGAGACAGGACAGACTTTATCGGTAAATATAAATTTAATACTGTTAGGGATTGTACCCTAGCAAGAATCTGCAGGGCAGTCAGGCAGGCAGGCAAAATATGTGAGATAAGTGTTGTGTAGCTTACACTCAGTAAACCATACACAGTGCCAATTAAAGTAGTTTTATTCCAACAAGAGTTAAAGCATAGTCAAAACAGTCCATATATCATACACTTAATTCAGTCCATCCAGGGATTATTCAGTTGCAAATTCCAATGTCGAAAATGAGAGGTCAGTACACTTACAAAATAACAGTCCGGTGATATATCTCCTCGCAGTAGAGAGAGATATGCAACAAACTCAGAAACTCCTCTCTTCCTTTTTGCAACTCCAGTAATTGCCAGCAAAGCGTCAGGGAATCGTCAGCTTCTCGTCAGCGTCTCATCAGCATCCCTCTTATGGTGTTTTCACACCACACCCAAAATACATGCTTTGCATTTAAAGTAACACACACTTTAAACTAACAATCATAGCTTATATATATATTATCTTACCCAAACTAGTTAGGTGACCAATGTTATACCTAACAAATACAAAAATAGTTTGTTGTGAAAGCGACTACATGCAAAGGTCCCAGGATTGGGGCTTAAAGATGAAAGATGCTCTGTCCCATATTTGGGTAGACTTGGTTGCCCTGACAAAAAAAACACTTTTCAGAATACTGTTGGTAAAGTGTTGACAAATGCTAGCATGTCACCCAAACAGCTGAAGCATTTTACTTTTGACACACATTTACTTTTGCCATCACTATTGTAAGGTAAGGTATCTCGCTTCAAAATAGGCAGCCTTAATTATTTGCTAAGGAGACAGGTGAACTATGTAAATTAATGCTGTAAAGCATGGCTTAAAGTTGCCTCATTTTAGGAAGAACATAAATCATCTTTCCCAACTTGCCACCATCTTTTGATGTTGAGATGATTCTTTAACTTTCCAATAAGTATAGCATACTTGTGGCCTGCCAGCAGCCCGCAGAGCTGGTGGCAGACTCAGACAGTGAGGAGGTTGGAGAGGAACATGGGCCAGTCCTGGAGTCTGGGGAAGGCTCTGATGAGTGCTCTGCATTGGAGGCAGAGATGGGGCCAGGGCTATCTAACAGTTACCAGTTGCCTTCAGAGTTGGAGATCAGTTGGGCAGAAGAACAGCTGGAGCCTGTTCCCTGTGTGTGCATGCGCAGAGCTGCCAGGGGAAGGGAACAATTAAGGAACAAGGATCAACTCAGGAGTAAGGGCTCAGGTGGATGGTGAATGCCCTCTCCCCTGGGGAATATGGGATTGCTAATGTAATCCTAAATTTGCATTAACAGATACAATAAAGATCAAGTGAAGTACTAATACCTCTCTATAAAGCCTTAGTAAGACCACACCTACAGTACTCCATCCAGTTTTGGTCACCACACTATAAAAAAAGATGTTGAGACTGTAGAAAAAGTACAGAGAACAGCAACCAGGATGATTAGGGGACTGGAGGCTAAAACATGCAACGAACGGTTGCAGGAACTGGGCGTGGGTAGTCTAATGAAGAGAATGACCAGGGGAGACATGATAGCAGTGTTCCAATATCTGAGGGGCTGCCACAGAGAGAAGGGAGCCAAGCTATTTTCTAAAGCACCTGTAGGCCAGACAAGGAATAATGGATGGAAACTGAACAAGGAGGGATTTAACCTGGAAATAAGGAGAAACTTTCTGACAGTGAGAACAATCAACCAATGGAACAGCTTGCCCTCGGAAGTTGTGGGAGCGCCATCACTTAAGACTTTCAAGAAGAGATTGGACTCCCATCTGTCAGAAAAAGTGTAAAGTCTCCTGTTTGGGCAGGGAGTTGGACTAAATGACCTACAAGACCCTTCCAACTCTGATTATCTGTTATTTGAATAAAGAGGAGCGAAAGTGGGATGGTGTTTGCAGGAGACAATTAGTTCAATTCATTAGGGTGGTGATTTGTTCCAGACTTTTTGCCAAGTAATTGCTACTATAGTGGAAGATATCGGCCAGGCAACTCTCCAAGCCTAATAAAGAGCTATAGTTGTGAAATCTCTTGAAAGACTATTTGCCAGGACTTTGCTGGAGAGGAATTCACTTTAACCCAAAAAAAAAGGGGTTTTATGGGGATGAGGAGTCTGCTTCATGATCTTGGGAAGCCTAGGTCAGAACAATACTTGAGAAATATTGTTGAAAAATTAAACTCAAGTGTATCACTTCCAGAAACTTAGCTCATAAATGAGTCTTTCCATTTCATTGTTATTGTTGTTGTTGTTTTGATGCTAAGAACAGAATATACTCTTGAAATCTGTGGAACAAAGAACAGCAACAGAACTGGGTCAAGAACAGAACACTAATTGGATTGAAACTGTATTCTCATCTCATAATCTACATACCTTGTTCTCACCTCCTAAAGATCAGGTGTGTCTTAGGCACCATATTCTTCATCCCATTGGTTGATCCCTGTGCCTGAATGATAATAAAATCTTGATCCGCATATCTCCCATCCCAAGATCTGTTTGGAAGAGTGTCAATTCCAGAGTTAGACTGGGCTCTTCTGTCTGTATCAATTCTGTTTTCTTGACAAGCTCAGTGCCTCTATCTCAATTTGTTGAGATTTACCAAGATGAAGAATTTTGTTCTTCTTGCGTTTTCTGTCCTTCTGTTCTGCACAATTGGTAAGTGTCTTTTATTGGTGGTGGTGGCAGCAGGTGGTGGTGGTTTCGGTTATAAACATTAAACAAAGTAAGAAAGCCACAAAAGAAAAGCAATGGCAAATACCTGAAAATATTGTATAGACCAGATCTATATGCAAGTGAATGGAATAATCTGGTGTAACATTTCAATTTATAGTTGTGTACATTTGAATCGGTGATTCTAATTGAGATTTGCGCTTTGCACATTGCTTGCTACCTAATGTCAAATTAGCATTAAAGTCGTGGTTTACTTTTTTTTAATTCTGCAGTTCTGATCTTTAATCCTCAGTACCCATAATAACCATTTCCTCCCACCAGACAACCGAACAAGTTGATGCATACCCAAGTGATTGGAATTAGAGGTGCCTCAAATGGACTGGTGAACCAGTTAGTGACAACAAAGAGATACAGGAAAAAGTCTTGGTGCCAATTAGTGTTCCTATGGCCTAGATCAGAAGTCTTCAAATTTGACAGCTTTAAGACTTGTAGACTTCAACTCCTAGAATTCCTCCTCCAGTCATGTTAGCTCAAGAATTCTGGGAGTTGAAGTCCACAAGTCTTAAACTTGGCAAGTTTGAAGACTCTTGGCCTAGATACTGCAACCATAGTATAAGTAACTTTTGTGTCTGGAAAGGAAAGCCAGGTGGCATAATTCCCAAACACAACTTCCATGTTATGTAGTTAGCAAGGAAAGAGCTTGTTAGATTTTAACTTTCATTGTTTGAATCTTCCATGGAACAAATCCCTTTCCTAGATAATGGAAGTGCAAATTTTTCAGGATTCTACAAAAAATAAATCCTATGCGCTAATGCAGAAATAACATATAGGACTCTAAAGAATAATTGTTTGCATTGATTAGAAATCTCAGAGTATGATATATACATTTTAATTATAAGCTGCCCAGAGTAATGGATGGATTAATAAATAAATCAAACTGATAAAGTTTTTTTTAATGGACATAGAAGACTCCATTTCCTGAACAATAATTCCAAAAATGTTGCTCTAAGGTTGTTTCTCTTAAGTCATGAAGGCCTAATTAATTGCACAATAAAACATGAACTACAATAAAAATAGACTGTCTTTTCCTGCTGTTTCATAATTGTAACTAACTCTTGGGAATCGGCCCGGTTATATGGAAGGGGGCATTCGCCATAAAATATTTCTATATAATTTAAAATAGGCTTCACACAATTAAGTTTGGAGGGGGAGTGAGAGATGTCCACAAAATGAGCCAAGACTGCTCTGCTGAAAAAGAGAATATCTGCAGCATTTTGGGGGTGAGATAGGAGAATTCGACACAGTGCTAACAGTTATACAGTTATACAGTCCCCAGGTTCAGGGGTGACATTCAAAAAATTTCCCTACCAGTTCTGTGGGCATGGCTGTGGGTGTGGCTTGGTATAATAGTAATAGTAACTGGGGCAATTTTTTTACTGATTCAAATCGTCCTACCACCTCTCCCAAGATGGAACGAGGTGGTTGAAATTCAACCCTACCCAGCTTGGTGTCTTCCAGATGTACCAGACAAGAAAAACCTGCAGTCTGGACTACTGCAGTGACCTGTGCAAGGAACTGTGCTTGAAGACCACTTGGTGCAAAATGCAATAGCATTGGGTAGTAAATGGCTCTGGTTACTTGGTACACATGACACCAGTACTTTGGGAACTGCATCAAGCTCCAATATGCTTTCAGATGCAAGTCAACATGCTGGTCATTTCCTTTAAAGTCCTTTATGGTTTGGGACAGTGACGTAGTCTTGAGGTCCAGGAGAAAGAATGGCTCATTTTGTAAAGTGTTAAAAACTCTTAGTAGTACTACAGAACTCTTTGTGGCTTCTGAAAGATTCTCCCTCTCGAAATCATATTGTCCTCGATCTTACTGCCTAAGCAGTAACTTCCTGCCTAAGCAGGAGACCCTACACCATTTCTGACAAATGGCAGTCCAATCTCTTCTTGAAAGCCTCCAATGACGAAGCTCCCACAACTTCTGAACTTCTGAAGGCAAGCTCTACCATTGGTTGATTGTTCCAGGTTGAATCTCTCCTTGTTCAGCTTCCATCCATTATTCCTTGTCTGGCCTTCAGCTGCTTTAGAAAATAGCTTGACCTCTTTCTCTCTGTGGCAACCCCTCAAATATTAGAAGACTGCTATCATATCTCCCCTGGTCCTTCTCTTCACTAGACTAGCCATGCCCAGTTCCTGTAACCATTCTTCATATGTTTTAGTCTCCAATCCCCTAATCATCCTGGTTGCTCTTCTCTATACTTTTTCTAGAGTCTCAACATCTTTTTTTTATAGTGTGGTGAGCAAAATTGGATGCAGTACTCAAGGTGTGGTCTTACTAAGGCTTTAGAGAATAGTATTATTACCTCACTTGATCTTGATTTTATCCCTCTGTTAATGCAATTTAAGACTGCATTGGCTTTTTTCCCCTAGCCTTCTACAAAACCGGTTCTGTGAACATGGCTTGATGAGTGTGGTGTGGCTTGGTGGGAGTGGCTTGGTGGGTATGGCAGGGTAAGGATACTGCAAAATCCCCATTCTCTTCCCACCCCACTACCCTGTTTTCCAGCTCCATTCTCCTGTGCAAGGCAACAAAAGAAGACCCAGCCGATCAGCTGGGACTCGAGAGGCAGAGAATAAATACGGGCGGGGCCAGTCAGAGGTGGTATTTGCTGGTTCTCCGAACTACTCAAAATTTCCACTACCGGTTCTCCAGAACTGGTCAGAACCTGCTGAATACCAGCTCTGGGCCTGGGGCCCTCTGAGTGTGAAGAGACCTGTTGTGCAGATGAATGTAATGATTCTATCAGCTATCAGCATTTTAATTTCTGTATATTGGTTTTCATTGTTTAGCCCTCTTCACTGTCCAGAATAACTTCTTGAAATGGGTCATTATATAAATTGAGGGCATAAATAAATGAAGCCCTATTCTTGCTTAGAACAACAAGTCAAAAAATGTATTTGTTATATTTATTATTTATTTATTTGTTTGTTTGTTTGTTTGTTTGCTTATGTGCAAATTCAAGACCACAACTTGGCTTCTTTGTTAATGGATTCTAGCATAGCTATGAAGTTGCTTGTTTAGAACAATATCACATGCACGGCTTCTAGTTATTTGCAACTTCAGTTGATCCCTAAATTGCAAGCATGCAGGAGGAGGAAAGGTTTCGAGGTGGGATGACCCACCCACTTTCTGCTCCACATTGGCTTCTCTGCTTACCACATTATGGCAGACAATGCAGGTGTGGATTTATGAGCCTTTATTGTGGCTGCCTTCACATTTTGCCTCTCTGTTGGCTCCATTTCCTACTCTGAAATCTAGCCGAACTAAAAATGAAGTCCGAAATGTATTTTAATTCATCGGTGGCATTGCCCTTTCTGCTCTTTCTCGGGTGGCCCACAGCAGAATGAAGATTCATTGGCACGTAAATCTGAGATGGGCAGTGTAAAAACATAACAAATAAAGATAAATAATCTTGTGAGGGAGCCTAGATTGAGATTTACCTGAAATCATGCAGAGTTCCAGGTTGGAGTCAAGTGAAACTTGAAACTAGGTTCTCTCCAGTCTAACCTCCAACATCAAAGATTGCACCCTACCAACAAAAGGACCTCTTGCAAGTCCAAAGAAAAATGCTGTTGGTCCTCTCACTTGGTTGACCAATATCTACTACTCCCAAAGTTTCCCTGAAGTTTCATTATGAGTACTCATGCCTACAGTACACATACAGGTAATCCTCCACTTACAACAGTTCATTTAGTGACTGTTCAAAGTTACAACAATACTGAAAAAAGTGACTTATGATTGTTGCAGCATCCCTATGGTCACATGATTAAAATTCAGATGTTTGGCAACTGGCTCATATTTATGACAGTTGCAATGTCCTGGGGTTATACGATCAGCTTTTGCGACCAAAGCCAATGGGGAATCTAGATTCACTTAACAATGATGTTACTAACTCAACAAATGCAATGATTCACTTAACAACTGTGGCAAGAAAAGTCATAGAACGGGACAAAATTCACAACAAATATTTCACTTAGGAATATAAACTTTGGGCTCAATTGTGGCCCTAACTCAAGGACTACCTGTATCAATTTTAACAACCAATTTAAGGCAGCAGTTTGGCTACTGAAATTAAGAGTGCTACCAAAAGTAGAAAAAATAATATTGTATGCTAAATACTAAATACTAGAAATACTATATAAGCAGAGACGTCCCCTCCCAACAAAATGCATAGAGTCAAGGCTATGGTTTTCCCAGTTGCAATGTATGGCTGTGAAAGTTGGACCATAAAGAAGGCTGAGCGCCAAAGAATTGAGGCCTTTGAACGATGGTGCTGGAGAAGACTCATGTGAATCCCTTGGACTGCAAGGTGATCAAACCAGTCAGTCCTAGAGGAGATCAACCCTGACTGCTGTTTAGAAGGCCAGATCCTGAAGATAAAACTCAAAGACTTTGGCCACCTAATGAGAAGGAAGGACTCCCTGGAGAAGAGCCTAATACTGGGAAAGATTGAGGGCAAAGGAAGAAGGGGACAACAGAGAATGAGGTGGCTGGCTGGAATCATTGAAGCAGTAGGCATGAGCTTAAATGGACTCCAGAGGATGGTAGAGAACAGGAAGGCTTGGAGGAACATTGTCCATGGGGTCATGATGGGTCAGACATGACTTTGCAACTAACAATAAGTAGTTGTTAGTAGAAGTCCACTTTGAAATAAATCGGCAATTGTTGCTCATATCTCGGGACCCACAGCCTGAGAAATGGATTCTGATTTTCCAAGACAGGCAGGGCTAAATCTATTTTCTTGCCAATACCACAATTGTCTCCCACTTAGAAGATTAAGCAGCTTCAAGAGATCCTCAGAAAGTCTCATTGTTCCTCCCTCAAACAAATTGACATCATGTTCCAAGGGCTGCACGGATGATGAAACACTATTTGGCAGCCTTGCCAGAGAGCAGCTACCTGTCTTTTCTGACTTG